ATGAAACATTAAATTTATGGGAATAGATGTGCAGAATGGCACAACGAAAAACAAGATTCATAAATTGCACGCAATCCTCTAAGGAGTGAACTTGTAAAATCAGTTGATGCGAAAATTCGTTTGCAAGTACTCGACTGTCCGAACCCTTCCAAAAGTATTTACAAAATTACCTGTGAATTAAGCATGAAAATTCTTCAGAAATAATTAATTGGACATTAATCGCGAGGAAATCGAACAGGTTCTCAAAATAATCTCGGTATTCTTATATTAATATTCTATATATATTCATATTTACGAATTTCGAATTAAAAAATTAATATTACTTCAACCCTTTGTTATTCACGAATTACTCCTTCTTCAGATTTTTTAATATTTTTCAATACCGATATTAAAATTTCGACCTGCAAAATCTAAATCCTAAAATCAGGGTGAAATGCCCAAGAAGTCCGTGTCAAAAACTCAAAAGCCCTGACCTACAAAACTGTAAAAGGGTTTCACTGCAGAAAAATAAATTTCTTCGAGGATTTGTTTGGTTCTGACAAGGAGCACCTGTTGGTTTTTCATCGAGTGACAAAAAAATGCATTTGAAAATTCAATACCCAGCATTGATAGCTGTCATTTCCTCCCCCCAATCGAGTCCATCGGGGGTTTGACGACTGCTAGTGCAGCAATTGCACGTTTTGCTGAGCAAAAAAGTCACCCTTTTCTGCCCAAAGACGCAAATATAGAGAATGGAAAGTGCTTGAATGATATTAAAAAATAAGTGAGCATAATAAATCTCGTCATATCTAATCTGAGACATGAGTACAGAGAGCCACCCAATGCTCATGACAACATAAATTAGTGTGAATAATCTGAAGCTGTACTTCATCTTGTGATGAATTCTCCCATAAGTACACATTCTCTTGATTGTTGACGCTGTGTTAAGGACAAAGCACAGATCGACAATTATGGTGAAGGCCACTGAGGTGAACAGAACTGACATTGCAAGCACTCCAACAGTCTCTTGAGGTTCATTCGCATGCTCTATGTTTGCTACAGGGGTTCCCTGCTCGTCCAATGCGAAATGAGCGAATAATGCAGTTGCTGCTATTGTTAGAGTTGATCCCCACACGTAGAATGAGTAATAACAGTATTTTCGACGGTCTGTTACTCGCAGAAACACATTGCGAGAGCGAAATGTGTTCCAGACGAAGTAACCGAGGGCATTCAGCCAGAAAAAAGCAGCCAGCAAAGATACGTACGCCACAGTATCTGAAAATAGTAAGAAAATCCCATTTAATCCTTTCGTTTAAAGATTGCCTCAAGTATTAATCCCTACTGAATATCTCCGAATCCAAGACAGATATGGAAATTCGAATATAAACCTTTCTTGTAGCTCTTAATCTGATCTACCCAAAAGGTTTTTATAAAAATTTCGACATTTCCATTAGATTCAGAGATATCCTCTCAAAAATGAACATCTCGGTTTATGCTCTTCATTCCCAAAGATTTCCCGGGGATTTCCCTGGAGTTTCCCTTACCTGCGACTAGGAAACTGATGTGACTGGCGTGTTGGGTAAAGCTTCCGACAGTCGCAGCAACCTGATTGATCACCAGACATAGACTCATGCTACTGATCATGTTGCCTACTAGATCCCTCAGCTGTGGTAGAACAAAATAAACAATAGCAACCATCAGATAACTGGCGATTGCCGAGGCCCTGGTGATGGGATCGATCATGTTCCTCACGAGATAATTGGTCTCCCTCCAGGGAAATTTGACATTTGGAACACAAATCATGGCGTAAGTCGTGACTTTTTTATCCCCTGACAAAACCGCTTTCTCCGCGCAATAATGTCCGAACGCGTAGTCCTGGTGGAGTGGCTCTCCAGTGGTCTCATCTTCCTCGTAGCTCTGCATGTATTCGTCAAATGTCTTAACTTTTTTGTTCAACCAGTTGTGATGCGTCACGTGGCGCAGTTTACCGGACGTCAGGATGACTAGTTTGTCCTCAGTCCCGTAGTAAACCTGCCACTGGGTCTCGTCCTTACCACAGACTGGAGAACCGATTCTCAATTGATAATTCACTGGTTTTCTTCTGATTATTGTCGGAAATTGATCGTCTACGAATTCTGGCTTCCACGGGCTCGACTCGTTCGTTTTATCGATCGATGTGCAAATCGAGTCGACGAGGATTTCATTCAATTCGCAACATTTTGCGATGTTTATCGAGGGCTTTGAGGTGTCCTGGGGATTTACTCCTGCACTCCAGTCCACGAGGCACGTCGATAAGACGAGAACGAAAATTTGAATCATTTTTCTGGAGAGAAAAACTGCTTTAGTTTTGTCCTCGGCTTTCTTCAAGGAATTTTTTTCCTATTTTGAGATAACTAGTGAATGTTTACTTATTCATATTATTCGACATTTTTCGGGCTTTTTGGTGATTTAGAAATTATTATTATATCATTTTTATTGGAAATTATAATTATTATTTAAAATTTCTGAGTTAAACAGTTCTATTTTACCAGAATTCATGATGAATTATAAGTAAAATGAATTCTAAGTGAAGGGAGAATTTCGTCTGAATTTTTATTGCTCCTAGTAAATTTTATTGTAGAGTCGGCCGTAAAGTTGCAGTTTCATTGAATATTCATGTAAATTGATTTTTCATCAACCAAATACTCGTAAATTTTCCGTAAACTAGTCACTGGAAATTCCGAAAAATGCAA